TCATGAGACATAGTAAATTAATTACTGTGTTTTCAGCTTACTCACGTAGGTAACTGTTTGACGAGGAACTCGGCTAGTTTCAAGCCATGACGTGACGACTGCGACGACAGTTGCCATGTCGTTGCCGGTCGCGGAATACTGCTCTTGGATATGACCCTCTAGCATGGCTTGAAACTAAAACATAATAATTATATTTTTATTTGTTATTTTCACGGTTTAATGAACCGGTAGACCAAGGTTGAATAATTACGATTATCAAAGGTATATCGATGACGTTGAATCGATAATTAATCGAATGTTTATCTAGTATTTATCTAAGTAAACATTGATCACTATTTATAATAACTATATATAGAATTTTTATCAACTTATTAAGCTTTACCTTAGCGATAAACAATCTATAATTAGGAATCCATAAGTCGATTAAGGTAATTCAGTTTTATTTTTATTCAGTTTTCTAAAAAAACAAGAATGGATTTTGTGAATGAAATGGAAATGCTGAGATAGTGAATAAGAAAAAGAAAAAGTTTCTAAGTAGATAGATAAGATAAGTACCTACCGAAGATGAAGAAGTTCTCAGAAGTAATAGACGCATGTACAATAACTAACTAGTTCATACAAAGTAGGCAGTAGTACAAAGTGGACACCGGCGTCCTTTCGCACGACAGCATATGCATCCCCATCATATAGATGGTTGGCAGGCCACAACTGTGCGGTTCTCACGTAGCTTCCTGCCTCGCACAGCAAAACTGTGGAATGATCTGTCGTCGGCGGTATTTCCGAACCGATACGACCTTCAAACCTTCAAGAAAAGAGCGTACTCCTTTTTAAAAGGCCGGCAACGCACCTGTGACTCCTCTGGTGTTGCGGGTGTCCATGGGCGACGCTGATCGCTTACCATCAGGTGATCCGTCTGCTTGTTTAACTATTCCATAAAAAAATGTATATGTGGCAGGAATTATTTTTAATTAGCAATATTTATGATTGTTTTTTAATTTATTAAAAAATAACAATATAATCTGATAAATATCCAATCACTGCGCTATACAGCATTTTGATACATCACCCTATTATTATGAAAAGGGACTTTTGATGTAGTTAATCAAACTTGTTCTATCCAGTTTGTACTGGACACATCCAGGTGTAAATAATCTTTGTAATTTACAATTTTTATCACAATTATGCTGACATTTCAGCGAATGGATATCAGATTAATGTGGTCATAAATCATGTTACAGAATTTTTATTTATCGCTCAATAATGTTTTATTGATTTAAAAAAGTACCTACGTCTGACCTCATGATCTAAAATTCCTTGTTTACTAATCCAAAATAGACCTTAATCTACAGAATTAAGGTCGATCTCAATCTTGTGTTCTCAATCAGATCTCAACCCGAAGACGTTGAAAAAATGGCGGTCGTAATTTCACTTAATTAAAAATAAACACAATCTTAACTTTTAATCATTCAACGATGCTGTCATTGCATTAAAAATAAATATTTTGTGTCGATCATCAGATGTAAAAACATTAGATAAATACATTAAATTACTCACAACTTCCAACACTTTAATGATTCACTGTTATTTTTATAGGTTCTTTTATAAAAACAAACAAGTTAAATAAGATTAAGATAAATTTAATAGATTGGGCAGGTAAAAGGTAGGTGTGTGACTAAATATCATGAACTAGCTAGTTTTACCGCGCGGTTTGACCCTCTCTGCTCGGCGCCTATTGATTGCCCTGCCTTAATAAATGGCCTATCCAAGACAAACATATTTTATAAGCACGTTCAAACAAACAGACAAACAAACAAGCTCTTTAGCTTTATATAGTAAAGTACGCAGCGTGGTGATTAATGCTTAAACCTTTTCCGTGTGAGAAGAGGCTTTGCTCAGCAGTGGGCATTTATATGGTGTTGATGATGATGCCGGAACGTAGATATACGAAAGACACAATGTATGGGGGATTGTATGTGTGTATCCGAATACTTGGTGAAATAATGTAAGATGTTGACTGTTGAGTGAATAAATCCGAATGGACGGAATGAAAGGGTATGATAGAGATTGATAGAAGGTGGCGGACAGTTGACGAACGAAGATGTTGCTCTATTTAATAATTGTTTTATTCTTTTATCTATTAATAATAATTGACTGCACGGTTGGTGCGGTGGCTGGGCAACCGGCTGCCGTGCAACGTGTCGCGGGTTCGATTCCCGCACGGAACAACACTTTGTGTAATCCACAAATCGTTGTTTCGGGTCTGGGTGTCATGTGTATGTGAACTTTATGTTTGTAAACGCAATCACGACACAGGAGACAACCCTAGTGTGGGGCAACGTTTATTTTAAAAAAGAAAAAAAACACAAAATAATAATATTACAAAAGACGGTTATTTTTTTTAAATACATAGTTTATTTTACTTTTAGTTCATTTAACTAAAACCCCTAGACCCTACACGTATATTATATTGTGTCTCATAAGCCGAGATTAGAGTGTTAAATTAGCAAGCTTACTTTAGAGCTTACCGAATTAATATGATTATTACATAATACGACCACTTATCTATAGAAGTTTGATAAAGAACAGCCTAACAGATGTCCTTCCAAGATAAGATGTTGGAAAGATCATGATGACTGTAGACTACACAAAGTAAAATAAATAATGCGGCATAATTATCGATAATTTAGACATGATGTCTATACCGATAGTGGTGATTAATGACTAATTGATTGAATTGTCGATTTGTTTGTTGTGTTTAAAAGGAGATGCACAGTTTTTTTATGTTTTTTTTTTTGTAGATTTCTGATGTTAAAGAGTTTGCTGTTTTTAGGTTTTATCAAAAATGTAAGTTACGTACCAAAGTTGTGAAAGAATTTCGATGCATAACAATATGCCTCTATTATGTTTAACATGATAACAATATCATGTTAAACATAATAGAGGTACATAGTTAATTTTTTTTTAATTCTGACTGCCTTTTGGCTTGGCACAAGGTAAGGTTTATTCTTGAAATCACATGATTTCATATTTAAGTTAAGTTTCAAGTTAACTACTATTCTTCAGATGTTTTTTTATATTTTATTAAAATAATAATTGTTATAGAAAGAATATTACTTAAAGGACAGTGAAAATAATAAAATAAATAAAGTTGTAAGGTTACGTTTTTATTTTTATCTATTTTTAATAGAGCATTCAATAATATTATACTGTACATTTTTCATTTAAATGAATAGTTTTTTAAAATAATTAATCACACACTCATTTACAATCGTTCATTTCACAGCCAATTTATTACTATTAATAATAGAACATTTAAACAATAATATCTAAAAATAACGATAATTTATTATTCTAATAATTTAATTCTTACAATTCAATAATTTTATTTAATAGCATCAAATAATAAATTAATTTAAATGTTCAATTATATTAACAATACGTACATACAAAGGAACAGAATACAATTAAATTATCTTACATTTAGATTAAATACGTCACACACATAATAAAAAAAATATTACATTAATAAATCATATTTATGAATATATTAATGTTTTATAATATTATCATAATCCTATAGTCGTTGATAATAATAATAATTATTATAATAGAGATATAATAATCTGATAAAGATTTATCTAACAAAAGATTGTGACTTTGAGCAGGTGTCACGTATCATATCGTGACCATATTTTGGAAATAAATAATACCTAATAAATAAAGGATTCTATAACTAATAATATTTACATTTTTTATTATATCTAGTTTGTACCTAAACCTCTAAGTGCGATTTCATTAAAATTGAAGTTCAAATATCATTATTCTCAGCTTTACTTCAAATTAAGCATTTTTTCAAAATCACTACATAGTATAAAACAAACTCGCTATCCGCCGTCTGTCTATGTATGCTTAGATCTTTAAAACTCCGCAACGGATTTTGATGCGGTTTTTATAACAGGTAGAGTAATTTTTAAGGAAGCTAAGTATAATTAGTGTACATGCATATAGCACCCGTGCGAAGCCGGGTCGGAAAATATATTAAATAAATATTATGATTGATAGCTTGATTTGTTTTCACAGCATTAATAATAATGTATTTGTAAAATAACAGTTCTGTTATAGTTTTTAAAATCAAAAACATCAGCATCTAGGTCAATTAGTCATCAAGCTATTATTCCTCATTTTACTTGATGAATTCTGATGATTAACTAACGCAATGGTATCAAATATTTTCGTCATTACTTCTTTAATAAAATCGCACGTGAGTTGTATTTATTTGATACGATCTTACTTGCAGTAATCTTGATTTATGATTCAATATACTTTTTTGATAAAGTTCATAGTTATGCACGTGGTAAATCGAGTTGTGGTATTCTAAAATCGATCTTAACGTATTTAGTTATTCGGTCATAAATCCTAAACAATCATTTTGGCTTTAAGTTGCAACAGGTTATATGAAAATTATGGCGCTGTTTAAAAAGTATTCGATAGAATGTTTCTATTATGTTTTTGCCTAATTAATGTTCATAGTTTATCACAACTTTACCTTATCTTTACTCTAAGATTTGCGGTTGAAATCAATATAATATTTTTATGCAAAAATCTCGCGACACTTACGCCAATTTCACAGTCAAATAGATAGAAGGAGTCTATATCAAGGACTGTTTAAAATCATGCTATAACGCGGAACTATAACTATTATAATCTGGAACTAATTACATTATAATCGAAAATAATTATATCTTAGAAACATATACATATATGTATGTTTTAAGATTTTAATCGACACGTACATTACACAATTACTAATTCCAAACATGCTTCAGTAGAGCACTTGTAACTTACATAGTGGCATGTGTGTCAGAATGTTACTCAAAGGGATGCTCAGTTCTGGCTCGTACACAAAACTGCGTACGACGTCGCATCGCAAGAACTTGCGAATTGATTCGCATCGCGCATCAAAATCTTATCTTCCTAAAATCTTCTTTGTTTCTTTTTCCTGTATCACCTAAGCAATAACAAAAGTGAATTTCTTTTTTACGATCCATGTCACGACCTAGTTTTCAATTTAAAACATGTTTAGGTTGACGGTCGACGAAGGAATCGCAGCAGTTCCTGTCGTAATTCTTTTTCGTTGCGAATTCGCTACGTATTGCATCGCAGTTTTGTGTATGAGCCCTATTTCAGGTATGTCTGAGAATCGACAGGCGTTCGATTTTTGAAAATTTTTGATCATGTTCAATAGAACGCCTTTAATCGTGCTATTTTAGTGAACCAGAACATTTAGTAAGCAAGATTATGTAATCTATATTGTTGATGACTAGAAATCAGTGATAAGGTTTCGATAGCAAGTATTTCTCTGCAGTCAATTAGCTATATTGAGATTAGATACATTCTGCTATTTTAAATCTCCTCTGTCACTGATCGACAATAATGATTACATTTCTTAAGAAGCCTACAATTTGGAGATAATTATTCTTTATCCTCTCGATTGGAATAAAATTGTTAAACAATTTTACTTAGAAAAAAAATTATATAGCTATTTCTATATAGCCCAAAAATGCTCACTGCAAGATGGCGAAACTTTTCATCACTATAGACTCATGGCACTTTTACAAATAGATAACAGTTAACTTCAGAAGTTCGCTTCATCTTCCACTCTTCAACACTACTTCAACTTACTTAGTTGGGCAGTTTAATAAATAAACTAACATTCTCTTGGCAATTAAGGAACATTTTTGCACTTCCTAGGTGGCGCTCCAAGCGTTTAAAGTGCTATGGGTCTTGTAGATATCGCTACAAATTCGTAGCAACAAATACAAGTATATAGACCATATTATAATGTACGACAATTAAATACTGGCCTATATGCCGTAATCCTTAAGCACTCTTTAACAACCAATTCTAGCACATTTACATTTGAATCCTCTAGATAAGTTTATATAACACCTTAATTATTTGGCTTTTACGCAATTTTTGGCAGGGGTACCGAAAATTTTCCGTTTTATGTTTAAGAATGCTCCAACGCCCTTGTTGACACCCGCAGCAAGGGAAGTGGAGAGGCAGGAGAAGAGGCTGATGAGGGTTCCTGGGAGGGTCGGAGCCATGATGGAGGCACAGGAAGCTATGGAGCGGTATACTACTCTGTTGTTCCTCGGCTGTAGGCTACGGTAGTTGTAGTCTCCGCCTACATCGACCTTGGTGAATAGTGCGTACTAGAGGACAAAGACAAAAGTATGTGTTAGAAGGGAAATGATATTTTGTTCTTAAAAGTAACTTAGGGCTTTTGAAATGTTTATTAAAAGTGGATATTATATAGCAAAAGCAACTGATGAATTTGAACCAATTATTTTGATGGCCAAATTGCTTTTTTAGTTTAATCGAAATAATTTATGATTTAACTTTGACTTTCGAGTATTCCTAGAAAAACTAAGAGCCTTAAACTGTCAAACACCAAGCGGTCACCGGTGGCCGCAACCTATTGTTCTATAATTGTGTCTATAATGACGGTACTCGACGAGTTAATTAAGTAAATCCACAATAATGTTTGTTTCAAAATCCTTACCTGGTCAGGAGAAATGTAGATTGGTTTGTCCATGACGATCCAGGTGACGACTTCCTGGCACATGGGGGTAGTGAGAGAGCCATGGTACGTATAGTAGGACTGCGGCTCATTGCTCAACAGGCGTCTGTTGGACAAAGAAACATTCGTGTTAGAAACAAGTAAATGAGGAATAGGATCTAATAAATTGTGGTATATTTTGGGTTTTAGTTAAGCTTTGGGAATGATTTAGTGTGTAGGTTTTTAGGTTCACTTAAAGTCCTATTTCCTGCACCATTTTATAAACTGGCCAGCCAATCACATAATGTTACCTTACATAGTTATCATTTCAATGGACTTATTGACTTTCACAACGTTTATTCGCAACATTAACATTATACTATTACGGTACCCTTTTATAATTCCACTACACTATCTCTTTGGACGTATCTCCTCGTCAAATTAGATCTGCTGACGACGTGACCTCTTTAAATGAAATTCCGAAGGTTATTGGAATTCTTCGGAGTTTACCTGATTCATGTAATCTTCAAGCGCGACTAAAACTACCTGCTATTGTTTTACGCCCTAAGGATTGGTTCCACTATTCTCTTCCGTCCCTTAACCATAACACAGCCTAGTACCTATTTTGTATCTACTTGTATTATGTTCAGAATATTTCCGCATTTTTCTTTAATTTTGAATGACTAATTAAGTTGGTGTTTATAGTTTTGAGTCATTGTGTAAATAGAATCACGAGGGGTGATGGGTGTTGTTGATTTGTTGATGTTGGGCATTTGTCACGGATTTTAGCGTAAAGTTTAAGTAAAAATATTGGTATTCTAGTCATATAGCAACTGCAATCCCAGTTTAACTGATATTAAATGAAGTTAAAGAAGGATATAAGTATCTATAATTGTATATCTTAGACATAAATCCATTTAGCATTTGAGTGAATCAGTTCTAGCAATTTTGTGCCAATCTTCATCTGCGTCTCATTCAGTTGTGAAAACTAACTACCTATTTTGTATACTAGCTGTATCTAGTTCTAGTCCATATTTTGTATTGTTCAATTTATCGGTTTGGAAAAAGCTCATTAATTTATCTATTCCTTAGAAAGTCTCAGTAACTATGTTCACAAATTTGTTGTTCGTTAGCTAGAAATTCTTCACTTACGTGATGTCTATTCTTCGTGGCTCAGTGTTGTTCTGTGAGCTGTTCACAATGTAGGGCATCATTGGAATGATTTCCTCCAAAGCGCGGTCACTGCCGTACCCTCTGTGCATCTATGAAGAAGATGATAGGGTTAGAAGTTTAGTTTTTCATCGAACTGCAAATTTTAGCAATGGGGTTAGTTTTTTACAAAATCTCAAAGGTTGAAGAAACCTTAAACATTTCTATTTTCTTCGAAAGATTTAATTATTAAAGACTAGTCTAGACATAAGAGACTAGTATCGTAGATACTTAGATAAATTTGCGGCTATAGGAGTTTTAAAAATTTATAAAAAAGTAATTGTTTCTTCATTGACTACTACTTAGGTTCTACCTAAGCACGATAAGGCACTGCTTACCAAAAAGAAAACTCCAATGACTGCCAGTCCATCAGCACGAGCCAGAGCCTCGTCGAGGGTCAGCCCAGTCTTAATGTGCACCATGTGGACTTCCAGAGGGTACCTGAGGAAGATTACTTTTGTTAGAAGGTGTATATTTAATGAACTCGCTTACAGAGATAGGCGAGAATATAGAGACAGTCGTCATCTTAATGAAGGCGAAGAAAATTTGGGAACAAAAGTAATTTTGTGTCGATTGTGAAAACTAGGCATTTTATACTGGAAAATGAGCACAGTATCTGCTATTTTTTCAAATAACGAACTGACTGATGTACCTAATGTTTTGACTAGTCAACAGACTAAATACCATTTACGATGGTACATTCATTACACACACCTAATTACTGTAAAATCATGTCATTAAACAAGTAGCTCGCTTGTTTTATTTAATTGATAATATTTACTCTCTTTTTATCTCAGGGTTTTTACTACTATGGTTTTTTTACTACAAAGATAATATGAAACTTTAAACTTTCTTTCCACTTGAGACCTTCTTTTGGGATAAAGAGAAGGAAAATTCTATCCGAAATTATTATCTTATGAAAGTCCACGTGCGCAAACAAATTGTTTTAAGTCAAACAATCTTGCCGACACCAGTTTTTTAAATTAGTGGACAAATAAATGCCACTCACAGGTTTCTAAACAAACAGGTAATGTCTGAACAAACGCTGCTGATGCCCGCTTATCTACGTGACATAATATCGCACTATATCATTTGTTTAAGATTAAAACTTTTTTGAACATTTCTGTGATGATTTGTTCAAGAACATTCCGTACGACCTGTAGTCTTCGTGCTTCATGCGTCTGTATTTATTTTGCAAAATATTTAAGCCTCTGACTGCTACAGAAAACTGTTGAACGCAAATCCACTACTAACGTATGCCACCGGTGACCTACGTGGCGGTTTACGTGTTTACGTTCGAATACTCGTCAGGGACAAAGTAGGATGTAAGTAAAAAAACATACTTTCAAAGTTGAAAAACACATTTGAAAGAGATTTTTGAAATATTTAAGTACCTAGGCATAGTTATCTTAAATGTGTCATTAATTATGATAACAAATTATGAACAGCCTACTAATGATTATGATGACATAATTATATTTTTTATCACAATATCAAGGTTTCTGAGATACTCTGAAATTATTGACGCAGGTGCAACGCACTTTCATAAATAATTAATCATTGAATAATACGTAGTATTTATTTTTAGCACGAATTATTAGGATTAGACATCTAAATTAAAAAGTAATCAATTTATTTAAAGTCGAAACGTTAACTAATGTATAAACTTTGATAAAACTTAATGTAAAAGTACTTTGTAAAAGAAAAGGGATGGAGCTTACTTAAAAAAAGGCAGATCTTTAGGACTCAAGAATCGATAAGCGACACCCCAACTGATTATAAATAAAATAACTACCAAATAAAATTGCAAGACAAACAAATAATAAAACCCACAGCTTTTGTAAACACAAATAACGTTTTGCTGAACAACTGTTTTGTTGGATAACCGTTGTGTAAAGTTAACGTTGCTAAAAACTGGAGGTCTACTACAATTTTTCGAAACGAAATTACGTTATCGAGCGAATAAAAATACCACACAATATATACCTACTTATGTTTTCCATTCCATTAGTAATATTGTCGTAACAATACTTCACGAAAACTGTCTATGGGTCAGAATTTTTCATGTGAGTTTGGAAGTTAGAGAATAGAATCAGAAATTATTTAAAGCTAAATGTGTGCTATACGTTTAGTTATCATTTATTAGAAGCTAAATGTCAAATGAAAATTCGTTTCGGAAAATTGTATTAGGCCCCCAACTACTGTCAATATGCAGAGTCACGTAGCTAGCCTCGTTAAGAGAGAAAAGGGACTCGGACTGAAAAGCTGAAAGGGTAAAGGTCACGCTTTTACAGCTGAAAGATTCGTGAAAAGATAGCACGATGAAAAGAGTTGTTGCTTAGCTTTCGCTTATGGCAATACTATACCTTTTCAAAGCTTGCAATACTTTTTCTGTTGGTTTTTATTTCATTCTATTGTTTTCATTCACAAAATTGTAGACTCTAATTATTCGTATTTATAACTCGATTGGTTTCATGAATCGAATGGTTAATGAAAATATTGACGGAGTTATTTGTGTAATTTTCTAGTACCTAATTAACGAGTATCGAAAATTTATGGAAGTATTACTCGAATGTAATTAAAGCTTACTGGTTTGTTCGATTAACCCGTGAAATAAACCTCTTCAATAGGGCACTTGCCTAATTTTTATTTTAATGTCCGTCTGGTAGATTATTTTAAATCATTAGACACGTATTTTTTATTTTCTTACAGTTACGAATACTTTCGACGATATATTGATTTGAAATGCGCGTGACGTCACTTCTATTTACATACTATACATAGAAATGACGTTTTAGCCCCACTCCTAAACTTTTATTCGTCGTATCTAAGTATTGTTTTATTATATGACAAAATAAAAAAATACCGTGTCTAATATTTTTTTATTACCTAACTTATGGACTAATTATATTTTTAATTTTCATACCCTGTCATCATCCCAATTTTAACAAACTCATATCAATCTATCATATCAACATAGGAGACTGAACTTACTTCATTCCATCAATGGCGTGTTCCGAAAGCCAGTGAAAGTGGAACTGCAGGAAGGTGTAGTTGCCCCTGAGAGGACCACCAGCCAGAACTGGTGCTGGTCCGTCAGCCACTCCAGACCATTTCACTGGTAGAGAAACATAGTTTTATAGTGTGCTCCAAATTGCAAACGGTGATTTTTATTGAAGGAACTTGTTGTGAAACCCTCTATTCAAAATGGGCCAATTTCAGGTTCGGTTCAATTGGCTACTGTGGATTTTGATGACCCACGCAGAAAGACCTCTGATTAAACTCAAGTCGAGTGACATACAGACACCCACACCATAGCTATAAGTGTTCTACGGAACTTCATTTCCATTTAATTTCCTTTTCCCATTTCCTACACTTCCCTACATTTTTCTCTTTAAGTATTCTGACATCTGGATGACACATAAATTTTACTAAAGAGCTTAGGTATATTAATTTCGTGTTTTGCAGATGCCTCTTTGGGTTGTACTATCGTTTAATTTTAAAGTTCAGGATCGAACTTTGAGTCGAATATAATCTTAGTACTCAGATGTAAGCACGAAGTCTAGAACTTAGTCTATTATTCTAACTAATTAGTTCACCAATATAACAGCTCAATTTGAAACTCTAATAATCATTTTGAAATAAATCGAATGCTGTGGAAGATTTACCAGAATTCAGTACCAACCTGTATGCCCATTATTGGATCCGTACAGCGGCACATCATTGTACCCTCGGAAGATCAGAGGGCCTCGGATGTGGGCATGGTGCTTGTCCACTATCGCTTCCTGGGTCATGATGTTGATTGGAGACTGACCCAGACCAGCGTTGCATACTCCTGGCCATGCGGATTGTTCTGCGAGAAAGAAGATTTTATTAAATGACTATTTTATCTTTTTAGCCATTACCTCTATAATAAAGTCGAATACAGAAGTAGGTAATTAAAAATTAATGGTAATCCACAGATTTTGGGTTTAGCTTGCTTACTAATTCCAGCTGATAATCTTATTCGCAAAAATTAATCTCTCCTACAATTATTATAAAGATTATTCGATTATGATAAAAACTTAAATGTCGTTTTATAAGTAGGTATTTTCTTTATTTATCTTCTTGTTGCAAATGTAATTGATGAGTTTAATAATCATTCAGATAATCAACCAGACATTTTTGATTATTTTTGAATAATTACTGAAAAGAATTTGTGATTAAAAATGCATATTTTTAATGAGTATGTTCATTCTGGTCGAATTGTATCAAATCCAGTTAAATAAGGTCGAAGGATCTATTTTAATTTGTTTATAATAGCTGGATGCCGGTGGCTTCCAACCGGCCTATTTAGAAGTCATTGGGGAAGGCCTATGTTCAGCAATGGACCTATGATGATGAATGATGATATAATTTAATAATAATATATAATAATAAATTCTTTATTTCGGAATTGTACACTCCATATCTTATACTACTAGGAACAAAAAAAAAAACCGCAGTATAAACGCAGTACCAGCAAAACAGTCAATTTAGTATAGGCAACGATGGCATATTGGGTTATCGTCCCTTTGCACTGGATGAGAGTAAAGAACAAAACAAAAACTGCATCTGTATTTGCACTCGCCTGTATACATGTGCCTACAAAGTAGGTACTATCCTTTATGACTATTATGAATAAAATTGGCGACCAAGATTAAAACCAGTTTGCGTTATATTATTAGGTGCTTTAAATGCTGATCAAGATAATTATACTCATAGTACTTTCCTAGACAACATGCATGTAACTACTAAGTATCTACTTGTTAGTTCATAAATATTGAAAATTGTGTTAATTAGTTTGTAGGTAAAGGAATATAACATAACATGGCTTGCGTAACAGTGTAAGTAGAGATGTACGTCTCAAATGTATACACGGCCACACATCAATCTATACAAAACCAGTTTATCCTGGTATCGCGTCGCATCATCTTTCCGCACATTTAACGTTCAGTTTATACTGGTTATGTAAAGCTCGATGTGTAGCCGTGTGGACTTGTCGATAGTTATATTATGAATCCCAAAATGAAATTAGTAACAAGTTTTATTGGCTACTGACAGAAAACTATTCAAGGCAAGTCCTACACTAGCGATGCGCCAATAATGCGGTGCATTTGCAGACATTTGCAGGTTAATTCTTTCAAGTCCAAGTTCATGGAAATATTGAATCGATTTTAATTAAACTTGGCATTCTTACCCAATGTGGGTGCTATGGTCTAAAAAGTTATTTATTAATTTCGAGAAAGAGTTTAGAGACACTTATAACATTTCCATCAAAATCGGTTCTGCTATTCGCGAGATAATCATAGACTAATAAACATACAACCAGGTCGAACCGAAAATTTCTCTCAATTTTTGAAGTCATTGAAAATCACGTAGATATAGGTAATTAATATAATTAAAATATACTTATACTAAAGTTTAGCTTACTTTTTATTAGACTCATATTCCGGTTCCTTATTTCATTAAAATCAGTTTAGTAGGTTCCATGAACTTGAACTGATTTATATAGAGACCGCAGCGTTATGGTATAAACTCCGTTTTAAGCAAATTCAATTGACCTACATAACTTTTAGGCACATTTTGATAGTTTCATTCCTAGATACCCTTTTTTTAAGGGGTAAAATCATCGAATGACTGCTCCCGCCTAGGTGAGGCGGGAGGGAGTGTTAGACTCTTACTGACTAAAAACCACCACGTTCCTTCTCCTACACGTCGAGCTGGAGCCCCGGTTACCCTTTAGGTTCTCCGCGACATTCCTAGATACCTAGATCTAATTTAGCTACGCTAATTGTTATTAGTAGTGACTAATCTGTCTGTTACACCAATATAAATAGGTGTGTTCACTCAAGTGTGCTTATTTCATTACTTATTAAAGCACTTGTGACTATTTGAGGAGTTGTTATAGTCATTGTAAGACTGATAAGTTTGTGAAGTACATGTAACACCGTAAATGTAAATCCCTAAGGGGGATAGGCAAGGCAATATGAAAGATTATTTTCTATAGATGCATGATATGCATGCGTTACCTAACGTTTCACCGGGGCTCCGGTTCAAAGCATGAGTAGGGTCAGCGTGGTTTTTAGTCAGTAAGAGTATGAATCTCTCGCGCCTCACCTAAGGCGGGAGAGTCATCGGATGATTCCCCCTTTCAAAAAAGTAGCGTAGAACAACTCTTAGCACGGTGGAGGGTTGATATTAATAAGTTACGCAGGATTCATAAAATTGATGACCAAGTTTAGTGGTGTTTTATTGAAGTCTACGTTAACAAGTTGATGATATTATTGTGATGATTGAAAAAGAGTAACCTATGGAGTTTCTTGCTCGTTCTTCTCCATAGGAATCTACACCTTGGAATGAGCAAATAGCTTCACTTTTAATATTATTTTTATTTTGACGTTCAAAAGTGCCATTCTGGCCTAATTGAAGTAAATGATTTTGACTTTGACTTTGACTTTATTATTCGTCTTATGGCCGTTTGCACCAAGTATCCCAAAACAATCTCTTAACTAAAAGTTACTTAGCATGACGTAGCACCTAAACTAACCTCTTCCTTGTACCGTTAGGTGTCACTTACAGGTCGGTGAAAATCAAAATGGAATTATATATATGTTGTATGTATTACATTACATTTTTGGTAACGCCTAAGCGGCGAGATACGGCCTAAACTAAGATATAGCTAAGCTAAGATGTCATATCGTAGCTTTTAGCTTAGGCGTTCCTTAAAATTTAGGAAAACGGGAAATGAAAACGGGCATTATCGTGTTGTAATAAATCTACAACTTATTTGTGGAAGTGGAACACAATTTCAAAATGTAATTTTTTTTAAATTATGTGTCAAAATTAAAACTTTATGTTTAGTAAACACGTTCTGAATATTTAAAATAATAGGTAAGGAGGTATGTACTTAAGTCTAGCCATAAGAACACTTAATGATAAGTTACTTTTAATTATCAATTTCTATGATTCATTGAAGTATTTTGATAAACACTTGATGAAATTGTGATTGATTTATCACTAATTGATTTTGTTTAGCATTTCCCTGGCTTTTGTCTCGTCATGCCTAGGTAACATATTAAAATAAACAATAATAAGTATTACGTCATCGCCGTTACTTTAAATGAAACTTTTATTTAAAAAAGAAAAGTCTTTTCAGTTCTGATCGGAATTTTCATACCACGGAAAATAAGTTATTTTTTTTATTTAATAACTTACGATTGTAAGACAATAAATTAAGTAGGCAAGTACTTCAAACATAATGCCGATGCATGATATCTGAGTGTGTTTTTAATAATTATGAGTCCCAACGATAGTCAGAAACCAAGCAAGTGCATTGAACTATGTTACGTGAGCAACCTGAATTTTATAATTTTTGTTTTTTAAATAGCTACTTTTTGCACTTCGTTTAAATTTCATTAGTGATTTTAATTAAATACAAATATTTCAGAATGATAACTTGATTTAAATAAAAATGCAATCAAAATATGACATTATTTCGCATTCATACTATTGTTGCATAGTTTCACAACCTGTTTAAATATTAGAGCTGTATATTCTATCTAAGTTCCGTATTTCTTATAATTATAATATGATTGGGATGTTTTTGTTTAACACAAACTCTAATCTCAGAAAAAATACGACAAATTTAAATAAAAAGTTGTATAATAAAAAAATACTTACGACTGTAGGTCCATTCTGCCTGCAGAGTTACATCTGAAACAATCAAATATTTTTATTAGATTACATTCATTCATTTATTATCTACGCCAAAGATAATTAAAAAAATAGCTGACATAAAATATGGCGGGAAACATTATGTCAATATTATGAAACTACTTTGAACAATGCGATAGTAACTTCTGTACAGTATTTTAATTTACCTACCATAACAGTAAATTAAATATTTGAAAGATATTTCAATCAAAGAAGGTAAATATTAATCAAAGACTGAAAAAATCCGCAACGTTTATTTATATTTACAAAACTCACAAACAGTAATTTGATGCATAACTATTTTGTTCTAAACTAATGAAAAATCAAAAAGCTTATAATAAGTATAGATTTCCATCGTCCCATTAATCATTTTCTTTTTGAAATTAACTCTAAACTAGGTTAAACTTAAAGCATTAATTAAGTAAACTTTACTCATTAAGAATCAGCTGAAAAGGAACGTTAATATTTTTGTTGTGTGAGACATTTATTTAGTTAGATGTACTTTATAATTAAACTGTTAGAATGAAATTGTATTACTTTCTTATAAAATATTAGGAAAAATACACACGAAGTTTTAATAAAACTTCAAAGAGAAAAAATTAGAAAACCCACCTGCAAAACTGACCACAAACAATACTAAGATCGCGAACATGTTTCTAAATATATGTCAAAACTTTTTTTAATTTATACCACTTATTGTTTATTTATTTACGCGAAATATTAATTTAATTATTTATTATTGAGTAATTATTATTATATGTTCACTGTGACACCCACGACACGAGACTAATATGGATATTGGTATAACCAAAACGTTTTATACATTTTGCCTTGTTTTTAATTTTTTTTTATCGGCCGGTTGCAGCGTACGTCGTCCCGCTGGTACTAAGAGACGGTCGTACTAAAGTTGCGAGTGATAAATAGGTACCTATGTTCGTGACATACGGTCAGGTGCGATGGCCAATTGTCATCGTGGCGCGTGCCGGGCCACTGGTTGGTCAACACAGAGCATGCGCGGTGAGAAATTTTGATATTACGTTGAACATGTGGAAATGTTTAAGGTGATATGAATGAGTTCGTGGGTAAATGTTTGCTTACTGATGAATGAGGTCCTTTTTATTACTTTTGCACATTTTTTTTTGTTTTTCTACTTTTTTGTTGAGTTTTCTTTTTGTGTGCCGTGTATGCAATTTACATAAATTACCTAATATAGTCAATGCAAAGCAGACTTCTACAGGTGCCTACAATAACTAGTCACATATTAATAATTTAGGGAATATAAGTATGTAGATACTATGTATTATGGTACTCTGTACCACCCTAAGGTAGACTGGCAGAGAATACCCTAGGTATTAAGTCCACCTTGTACTATATGTGCAGAAGAATAAAAATAAATAAATATAAGTTGGAAAAGGCGTGTCATAACTCGTTTTTTCTTGTTTTTCAATAATAATGCAAGCATTACAATCTACAGTTAAATGGATCGATCGATTGCAATATTTTAGGCACTTTTGGAAATGATTGTAATTAACTCGTCGAGTACCGGTTTTGTAGACACAATTATAGAACAATAGGTTGCGGTCACCGGTGACCGCTTGGTGTTTGACAGTTTAAGATTACAAGTTTCTGAAAATTGTTGTGATTAAAACAAATTAATAGAGATGGTTTAATTTTCTTTATTGATGTTTTTTGTGACGGATATTGTTTCATAGTTTTAGTTTACAAAGAAGGAAACGTTGATAAAAATTATCGGTTGATAGAGCTTTTCAGACGTAAGGAAAATAAAATGTTTTTTTTTATTTATTTAAAGCTTCTAGGTACTGACCATATTAGACATAGAAAACTATACTGTCGAAATACTAATAGGTGTAATGAGCTATTAAAAATACAATACTATCGTATCATATTATGATAAACAACTACCTACTTAAGCCTAATTATTTTATCTTATTAATGCTTAATTTTATACCGAGAATATTACTAAGACGATATCAATATACAATACTACGTAATTATGTAATTAATCTAAATATAGAATTGTTCTAATTAGTAGAAACAAGAAACTGGTGTTAAATAAAAACAATCAAGATTTGCAAATGGACATTGATTGTATCACACGCTGGACTTATCAAGTTTTATCTTAAAAATGTCCGCGCCCATTTCCCTTTTTATATGTATTTTACTTAATCTGTGAACATAGAACATGAGGTTGATAACACATTACTTAATTTATTTACAAAGTGCGGCAAGGTTAGATGTATGAAGTCCTAGAAAATCTTGTTTACAAAATTATGCGTAAATTTAGAGATTTTGTTGATACATAGTTGATAGACTTTATTGAGACATACACCAGAAAAGGATTTGGAAGCATCAGCATCAAGTGATTGGCAGTAAATTCAAAGAACTGCTTAATTCCTTTTAAGACAAAATTAATAACAGGTGGGGGCAAGATCCAACCTCTCTGACAGGCAATTATTCCTCAAAGTGATGACACTGACGTTATAAATCAGCTCCACACCCATTATGCGGTGCAAACAGAAAACGAGGGGTTAAAACTTGTCAAAATTAAGTATGAACAAGAGAGAACACGTTTTATTGAAAAAAACCTACATTCAGTACAAAAAAAGGGATAATGAGGATGATAAGAAATCACACTGAATGCAAATAAATGAGGATTAGCGATACTAGAAGCATGCAAGTTCGGAACACGTTCAAAAATTTATAATTCGAGTTGATAATTTTATATGCATACGATTGACGATGCAGATATTTGGCGCTATCCGTACTGATCTAAGATAAACTTGTACTTTCTTGTTTCCTTCATACATTGCAAGTGTTTATTTAGATGTTTATTGTGGTCATATCTTTGAGTAATTACTTTTGATGGCTGGTGATAATTTTATTTTTGTAATCAAGTAGGCGGTGGTCGGGTAAGGTCTTGACTTTCGGTTTCAAGGTCAAAGCCTGTTTTAATTGCATTAGTTGTACTGTAGGATAAAGACCTTTTTTTCCAAAGCGTAGAAATAGAGAGATATTTTTTTTTTACTTTTGTCAATGGTTTCTGTAAGTATTTTTTGCAATAGGTTTTTAGTGATCCCTTATTTCTTCCATAGTCTCCAGACAATTCTTTGACCGAGAATATAAGAAGGAAAGGGCAGAAAAGTAACATCTGACTTGGGTACATAATTTATTACCACTTTGTGTTACTCCTGGAATCCATTCCGTCGTTTCATCCGTTCATCCGTCTCTTTCTACACCAATTTGCACAAACCAAAAATTTTTGACGGAACATCATTTTGTTCATCAATTTAACAGCGCGTGTGTCACAGAGGCAATTTCGCGCCGCGCGCATGTCACCTAATTTATTAATAAAAATCTTAGTAAGTGGATATTGCACCGACCTTCCACATAAATAGTATAAGTGCGGGATCTGTTGCAGTTGCATCCTTAGACAGGCTTGTTAATCCAGGCTATAAATAGATTTCTCTGTAAGAACTAGAGTGTCTACAATGTTAAGGACTTTATTTTCCAGGCATAAAATGACAGTGCGGGTCATTTTGAAGGAGATCCTCTTAATGTGTTGCCAAAGCACGTTGACAAAGAAGTGTAGGTTTAACTATTATTTAATGTGAACTTTCGACATAGGTACATTAGTATTCTAGGAACAATCAGAACGAGAATTGTGTAAGGTATGTAAGCAGCCAAGAGAATGTTTTTTTAAATCTAAAACTCTATGTGGCTTCGAGTGTTGATATCAGAGTCAAAGGATTTATTTCACTTAAATCAGTTGCAGAAACTTTTGAAACGTCAAAATTGAATTGTCTATCAGACTGTCCGTTAGTAAAGATATGAACTGCACACCACGAAGATATTCTGAAAAACATAAACCGCGAAGGTATTCATTTAAATCTGTTGTGTAGTTTTGAGTGAAATAGCAACAAAATCCATTATATACTAGTGCTAACTTTGCCTACGTAGGCTTTGATATAAAATACTATGTAACTTTGCTTGGGCATCGATTTGGTTCCATATGCATGGAATGTATTATAAAACTTCAACAATCAATCAATAATACTTGCAGAAAGTTAATATCTTATAAGTTATTCACAGGTGCAGTCAAAGCCGTATCATCCCTAAGGTAAACTAGGCAAGTATACCTATAGGGCGCCAGGATACATAGGGGCACCGCGAGACGCGCGTGCCTGCCTATAGAGCTGGCAGCAGCAGCGCCAAAACTAAAATTAGGAGCGCGTACGAGGTGCTTGCCTAGGGTGCTCTCTAGGTTTAATACATCCCTGTTACGTATTATATCATTCTTAGAAGTTTATCAACACATTAAACTTTTCTACTTGAGTATGGAAGCAGTTAACGAGGCTTAAGGGAGATCATCGTGGGGTTTCTGGACCAGGTCTATTATAGAGGACTCGGTGCCCCCCATAGGTGATGATGGTGGTCATCGGGGTGGTTTTAGTGAGGTAAGAATCTCACATTTTCTAGTTTTTTATGCCCAAAAAAGCTAGGCGCCTTTTGAAGGTGTCGTTAACAAGAAAAAGTAGTTAACAGTGTTAATAGAATAGTTAAGGCCGGTTAACATCTGATTATGTGTCGTGGTGGCCAGGAGGTTTAACTCGTCGAATACCGGTTTTGTAGACACAATTATAGAACAATAGGTTGCGGTCACCGGTGACCGCTTGGTGTTTGACAGTTTAAGACACCCACTTCTCATGCATGAGGGTTCGAAATTTATAACTTTTAAATCACGAACCCGCATTTAGCAAGCGTGGTGATTAATGCTCAAACGTTCTCCGTGTGAGAAGAAGCATTCCTCAGCAGTGGGCATTTATAGGCTGTTGATGATGATGATGAACATTTGATTATTGTGGAAAATTTGACGTATGCTCCGTACGATGTGTGAAAAAAAAAATGTGTAACCGACACACGTATTTTTTCTTAAGCTACCTACAACGTAATCAGTTGTTATGACACAGACCCTTAAAATAATTTGTAACTAGGTTTAACGTCATGATATAGATAACAAAATGGTATGACTTCCAACCTTAGATATCCTTTAAGACCTAAGGACTAGGTCTTTGAAGCCGCCATTTAATTAGCAGTATAAATAATTAATATTAACATGTTTACTAATTGATACATGTTTTACATGAGATAATTGTATTATCTGTATTTTAATTGGAGTTACAATTATATTATTTAGGGCATTACTTCATTAGGCCAATTAGCAAAACTCGCAAGGAGTCGCAAGTGTTAGTATTGTTCTAGGGGCGCGTTCGATTTTCGTGTCGGGGACTTTTCGCTTTTTATAAATATACGGTTTAAGACATTTTATTTCTCAAAAACAATTTACATTGACTTGACTGAGAAATACAAAATATACATAAGTAGGTACAGAATGCGAACCTGTGCCCGAAACAATATATCCGTCTTTATGAACAACCAAAAAAAAACACATTGGGTACATACTTAAAACATATGTAGTTACACAATAAAATTACTTTGAGTAGCCGAGGGTAATCTTAAAAATATTGGGTCGAGAATATCAAACATTGTGTTTTTACTAATAGGAATTTGTAATAGCAATGGTCTTATTACGTATCGAAGATTCGAAACACATTAGTTGCTTTCACAGATGTACAATAATAATTATGTTATGGACATATATAAATATTTCATTAATAGCCAGGAAAGGGGTACGTACTGTCCGATAAATAGGTACACTCTCAACTATGATAATTATTTAAACATGACGGTGTAAATGGTCCTTCGTAAGAATGGAGGAACATTAAGTGATCCTATCTGGGTGAAGCGGAAGGAATTATTAGGCTTTCATTACCTAAAAACTACCCTTTTTCAACTACT